TGAAACACTGAATTTCCTACCTGGAGCTTAGCATGGTTTTAATCTAGAATATGTTTGTGTGTACATGAAAAGTCAAACAATTTGTGTTGGACTGTTTTTGGATTTCAGTATGGGCACTCAGAGGCCGGTGGATTGGAGCATGTACCTCCAGGCTGGAACCACTGGGTCGGACTGGTAAGACTCAAAGTTTTAACTTTGTAGACGCTGTTATCCATTTCTTCTCATTTCAAGTGACTCACAATACAAGGCAGAATGAGCACATCTCTAAAATTGTAAAAATATAAGTCTGGGTGAAGTTTAATCATTTTTAATATCAAAATGATTCAATCAGAGTAGAAACATAATAGAGATCTTAGAACTTCAGCAACAATTTAGAATGAGCCTCTAAAGCTTTAGATTGTCTGCAACTCATTGTTCATGTACTGTTTTATAGTACATGAATATTTACAGTGGGTATGAGGTTGTAGCTCACAAACATCTCAGTGCTTCAGAGTTCATGCTACCTCATAACTCACTGTGAGGTTTATGTGACTCTGCAGAAGGAGCCAGACTAATAAATAGGCTAAAGTTAGGTTTTCTAGAAATTACAGCATGTTTAACTGGTTGATGGACATCATGATACAGAGGTCACATCCAACTGCAGTGCAGACTAGTTGATGTCCGCTGAGAACCAGCATCTCATAGCTTATCACACCATAGAGGACACAAAGAAAAGATGCATATGGGCCCATATAAGAGATGAAGCAGCTCACTGTAAACCGTTTTGTGTTTTCCAGGAGAAAAACTCTAAGTACTACAACTACACTCTGTCAGTGAATGGAAAGGCTCAGAAACATGGAGCTGACTACAGTAAAGACTACCTGACAGACCTACTGGTGAGACAACAGAGGAATGTTATGAATGAAGGCTCGCTGTTGTAACTCTGTACGTCTGACATTCCTGCACACCAGCACTGGAATCTTCATATTCTGTCCTTAACTGTTAGTTGAACATGTTACTCCTTTCACTTTTTCATTTTAGCCACCAACTTGGTGTCATTTATTTATTTATTTATTTATTGGCAGTCAGTATTTTAAAAAAAAAGTATAATAATGTAATGTGTTGTTTCACATTTGTTGTTGATTTAAAAGAAATGCAAGTTAAAATTGACTCTATAGGATCAATTACTCTGCCTACTTGTTGTGTAAAACCCAAGGCAATAATCATTACACACATTTAAAAGAGAGAAGTGCAACAAACTGTTTAACATACTGTAACTTGATGCTTTTTAGTAACTGAATTTTTCTTAAAGGTGTTGTAGGAAGAAAGCACAATGAATAGGGCTGCAACTAATGATTGTTTAATGATTAAACAGATTTAGTTCTATTAATTGTTTGGTTTAGAAAATGTCAGTTATTTAAAAGCGCTGCTCACAGTTTTCCAAGTTGTAATGTGAATTCTTGAGATTGTTTTTGTCCAACCAGCAGCTCAAAAGCCAAAGATATTTCATTTATAATGAGTTGAAAAGCAGCAAACTCCCACATGTCAGAGGCTAGTTTTAGTAAACTACTTTTAATCATTCAAATTAAACAATAATCAGTTGTCAGAATCGGCACATTGACTGAACCTCTGAGTCATGATCTCACAACTGCAAATGTTCAGGTTTTACTACAACTCTGTTCCCTCCCTCTCCCAGGCCAACATGTCTTTAGATTTCCTCCAGTACAAATCCAGCCACCAGCCGTACTTTATGATGGTGTCCACCCCGGCCCCACACTCCCCCTGGACCGCAGCCCCTCAGTACCAGCACAGTTTCAACAGCACCAAGGCTCCCAGAGACCCCAGCTTCAATGCCCACGGGAAGGTAGTGCCTGTTTCTTATTTTACCGGCCTTTTAAATGTTCCCTCTGTCGTCTTAACAACTCCCCTAGAGGTCCCAGTGCGACTCGGAACATACTGACACCATAAACCGCTCCTGTCTGCTCTTTGCCCCTCGTGGCCTGTTTCCTAAAGCCTGGTTGCAACAAACTGTACATAATATAGCCTCCAGGCTGAAGCTAGCGTTAGCTGATTAACAGTAATTTTGTCAGACCTGTAGAAAACTCTGGTTACAGATAATGTGACACAAAGCACTGATGTTACACAAAGCTCAGATTAAATTCAAATCATTAATTCAGCAGAAAGGTAAAATTATGACCATGCTAGGCTGATACCAAAACAAACACGTTAGCTTCAGGTGCTAACATATCCTCCATGGTTGTTTGACCTGACTACTGTTGGCTGGAAAAACCCCTCTTCTAACCTTGGCTAGATGGTGGGCAGGGCTAATTTACAGACCGTATTTTGACAACACAGGGTGGAGAAGCTGGAATAACAACAGGAGGGCTGTAGGCAGCAGAGTGATGGCTTTAGGAATATTTTTTTCCTTTCTCTCTTCAGGACAAACACTGGTTGATCAGACAGGCTAAGACCCCCATGTCCAACTCCTCTGTTCAGTTTCTGGATGATGCCTTCAGAAATCGGTCAGTCCCCTCACCTTCAGCCAGCTTTCTCTTCCTTATTACTGTCCTGTCTTGTCATCATTCCTGTCCTTGTGCTTACTTGCCCTTTTTTATTTAGCATTACCTGTCCATAGTCAAATGAATTGCAAAATGTGCTCACATATTATTTTACACACCAAGCAAACTTTTCCCAACATACTGATCATTGCTTAGTGAGTGCTTATTGTTCATCCTGACCTGTAGATGGCGCACTCTCCTATCAGTGGATGACCTGGTGGAAAAAATAGTCAAGAGGTTGGAAGACGGGGGTGAACTGGACAACACGTACATCTTCTTTACCTCTGACAATGGTTATCACACAGGTGTGTACAGGCTTCCAGTATCTGTGTACCTGCCAGTGACAACATGTTTGTCTAAGCACCCTAAATAAACTTAGAGGACTGTGCAGCCAGGGTGAGATGGGTGCTTCTGTTTCTACTGTCTTCTCTCTCTCTCTTTCCTTTCTTTCAGGCCAGTTCTCTCTTCCTCTGGATAAGAGGCAGCTCTATGAGTTTGACATCAGGGTTCCTCTCATGGTCAGAGGACCAAATATCAAACCCAACCAGACCAGCCAGGTACACACCTTTATGTGCTGACTTTCATTCATGTACCTGGCAGTGTCATTCTCCTCTGAGGAAATGTGTCTGATCTGCTCTATAAAGCTGATCAGCACTGCAGCTGTGGTTGTCACATTTATTATTAAATCAGATTTAACTATGGTTGTGCATCTTTGATATGCCAGTTGATAGACTTATTCTCTGCCAGTGTATCCGTCAGCTATGCGTAGTAACTTCACAATAAATTAATTTATCAAATTGGCAACATTATGGATTCTCATTCTCCAATAATTGCCAAAACCTAGCGATTTACTTAATCAGAAGTTGATCCACCTGTTACTTATAAATTAGAATGAACACAGCTGCAAGAAATATAAATTCTTACAGCACTATTGGTTCAGTTCATGTTTAAATAGCATTTTATATTTTAGCAGAAATGCAGAACAAAAGCATGAGCAGTAGGATGAATTCTGCAACCGTTCATCTGACGCAGAGTTGGTCATGTGCTCCAGGCCTAGTCTACTAAATACGGGCTTTTTTCCTGATGAAGCTGAAATTAAAAGACAAGTACCAAACTGGTCTAAACAGATTTGCTGTTGTACTGTATGTCATATACTCAATGTAGAACCCCTCAGTCACTCGGGTTACCATGTGGAAATACACATGGATTTCAGAAAAAGACCTTTGACTTCCCAAATCTTTGGTCATCTGGGAGGAGACTGTGGCTGAGAAGGGAGCAAACTGTCACTCACAGAGAAGAACATGTTTCTTCCTTCTACATGCATCGAACCGTCCAGAGACAGTACATTCACTCTGCTTTCACCTCGGTCTCGCTGCACTTTGTTGACCCGAAATAAAAGAATTCATTCTGTTGTCAGATGCTGGTGGTGAATGTCGACCTCGGCCCGACCATCCTGGACATCGCTGGCTACAACGTCAACAAGACGCAGATGGATGGCATGTCCTTCCTGCCCATTTTGGTGAGCTCAGTAAACTAATGACAGTTCATCTTCTCAATCAAAAACTTAATGTCATCACGAGGACAGAGAGATGTAGTCGCACTGCCAGCCCAAAATGTCCATTTAATTTATTTGGTCAGGGCTTAATTAAGTGCAGTAGTCTATGACTAAGGGAGAGAATTGGTACTCGCTGTATAAACCTTTCATACTCCTGATTAAATGCTCGTCTGGTTTAAGTAGTTCTCAAGGTCTGGGAATTTTGAGAGACAGTGACTCATGTTATCATCTATGTACTACTTAATTCAGGCTTATGTGTCTTTGTCACAGAAAAATGCCCACATATTTTAAGAGCTGATTGGTTTTAATTACATTTTCTACTTTGCCTGGTCCTTTTTAAAATCCACCCTGTCATCAGAAACAGATTAATAGTAAATTATAGCATAAAATATAAAAACACGTACGTAGCTGATTGGTGTGCTATGTATCAGGTTCTGTAAGCGCTGTCCGATATGAATCTCATAGCTAGTGAGACGTCGTCTGCCTTTCCAAAGTACAGTGGTCTTAATATTAGGGCCTGCAACAGAAGCAAAGATTAGGATAAGATTAAACAACAGTAATTGTCATTTTAAATTGGAAATAGTTGTTGTCAATTGTTTGTTCACCAACTCGTGCACCTGTGTGTGTCACCAGGAGGGGAAGATGAACAGCAGCAGCTGGAGAACAGATATTCTGGTGGAATATCAAGGAGAAGGAAGCAATGTGTCCGACCCCGCCTGCCCTCAGCTGGGGCCCGGAGTCTCGGTAGGAAGGGAGAGAGGAGATTACACAGATTAACTAGATATTATCTATGTGGAAACAAGGTTTTGGCAGCAGAAAAACTCATCAGTCTCTCTCTCCTCCTTCTATAGCAGTGTTTCCCAGACTGTGTTTGTGAGGACTCGTACAACAACACCTACGCCTGTGTGCGTACCGTCGCCCCCTCTTCCAACCTGCAGTACTGCGAGTTTGATGACGATGAGGTCTAGCAGATCATTTTCTTTTGCTTCTGTCAGTCTGTTTGTAATCTTAAATCATAAGGTGTGTTTCAGACTGTCATTGGTTATTTAAGGATAAGGCTAGTGATTCTAGTGACAGTCGGAGAGCATGCCGCTTTGTTTTTTATTTCTCATAGTCTACAGTTTGACAGCAGACACTGTATGTTCTGTGTAGGTGTTTGTAGAAATCTACAATGTGACAGCAGACCCGTACCAGCTGGAAAACAAGGCAAAGACCATTGACCATGAGGTTCTGGAGAAGATGAACCACCGGCTGATGATGCTGCAGGCCTGCACCGGACAGTCGTGTCGGACACCCGGCGTTTACGATCCGAGGTCCGTTCAGTGATGCCATCCCTCACAGATTCACTGGAAGTAGAAGTTTTGATTTCCTCACATAAATACAAGTAGTTTCCTCCTTCATTAACTGTAGAAACAGAGAAATCTCAGATGAATGAAACGGTATCTTTAATTTGTTCTTCCTTAAGGAAAATGCTTTTTTAGTTGGTCCAGAGCTGAAATTTTTTTCATGTTTCAATTCTGTGCACTAAAAAATTCTGGTAATTAATTGTAAGAGTCATAGGAAGCCACTTTTAACAAAGACTGAGCTGGTTAATGCTTTATTTTGCTGTCATACGTTTCTTTTAAAAGTAATAGTCTAATAAATACCAAAGATGGTTCCTGAAATGAGCTACATAATTTAGGATACAATTAGAAATGTCCTTTGAAGAAAAGCTATTATCTATTTGTGAAATCTATCCTAAATTAGTCTGAAATCCCAAAATATACTTTTTTAAATCACAAATTCATGCTAAATCCACTTCAGAAATGTTTTTGTTGAGCCTCTGCAGAACTTAAACTGTCATTCTGTCCTGTGTCTTCTCAGGTACAAGTTTGACCCCCGACAGATGTTCCCCAGCCATAGTTGGCGGCTCAGCAGGCTCAGACAGACCATGAAGTGAGAGCAGGTGAAGGTGGATGGAGGTTACAGGTGAAGGAAGAAGGGCTGTATTTTGTCTGTTCAGCCTTTTCTGCTGTTGTCGCCTTGAGCCAGTCTCTTGGAGATGGGTGGGGTCATGTTGGAAATAGGAGGGTGTAGGACCCACCTGTAAAGGCTGCAGTTTAGTGAGTTTGTCAGTAGATGTTCAGTTGAATTCTTCAGGACGAATTTGCACAAATAAGCTGCAAATGTCTTAATTCTCAAAAATTTATGTTTCTCTTTCTGCTGAGAACATAAGTAACACTTTTCTTTTATGGGTCCCGTATCCTCCAAATCATTTTCTGCAAACTTTCCTCATAATTTCCTAAAATATATGATTTCTTACTGTGGATATTTCCAGGAAACGCCTGTGCAGTCTGGTCCAAACCAAGGGAAATTAAAAAAGTGTTATTGGGTACCAGCTTGTAATAAAAGAAAACTTGGGAAGTATGATGATGTCAACTGTCACTTTATTTTACAGGTCTGATCTGTGGAAACTAGCTAGAGATGCGTTTCTAAGCCTAACTGCTGAGTTTGTCAAAGTTCGTAGCGTGTGTTTATTTGTCCGGGAAGAATCTAAGAGTGACAGACTTTAACATCTGTCAGGTTACACAAAGACTAGCCAACATTTGCAGTTTAGATTCTTCCCCACTGAGTTGCCATGTGTTATAGATTCATTTAGTCACCAGTTAATTATCATTTTACCATTTATACTGAATGGTGGGTGAGCTGCATGCTTACCTGTAGTTTCCAGCTGGAATCTCCTTAGTTTTGCATGTCAAACTGCTGATCAGAAAATAAAAAACACATGGTATGAACTTGAAACTCAGCTGTTAGGCTTACAAACAGGTTTCTAGCTAATTGCCATGCCTGTAAATGAAAGTGTCACCTTGTAGCATATTTTCTGTCTAATCAGGAAACTTTGAAGAAACATGGATATTGATATCTTTATCATTTCCAGTTAATATTTAGGAAATAATGAGGAAAGTTTGCAGGAAAATACAGAAACTATTGAATAAAGCAGTGCAATATCAGTGATCCAAACAGTGACCAGTAAACAGGAGATTTTTCATTTACTAGTCTAAAGACGGGGCACCTGGTTGACTTTTTTTTGTGTTCATATTGTCTGACAAATGGAAACGACTTTGGGATTAGGTGCCAATGCATTTTGAAAGTCTTCTCATTGTCAGTGGGGTTGAGCTCAGCCAATCGAATGCAGCAAAAATCTCCTTTGTTAGACAGTAAAGGTCACATCAGCACCAGTTTGCGCCCTTCATGCATTAGCATGCACCTCCCCTATGACAGACATCTAACATGAGCGTAACTCCAGTCTGTGCCTCGTACGTCAGCATGTGGTCCCAGAGGTCACCATCAGTTTCTCTAGAAGATAATTAACCCGCAGAAGATCGTCCAGATGCTTAGAGGAGTCTCTGGGGTTGTAGAGGTGCCTTCACAGCAGTGTTTAACAGCTCTGCTTTCAAGCATCATGAGTCAGTTATCTTTTAGAACATTTGTGACCAAATGTGTGCTGATATATGAGGCACAATCGGGCGCTACAGTCCTGTCACATTTCTGCAGCCAACAGGGTGTGATTTCACAAAATAACTCAATATTGATCAGAGTGAGGACAAACTGCACGAGTGTTGCAGCACTTTGTAATCTGCTAGTGTGAAGATGTCCTGTGCACCAGTGTTAAATAACAGTGAATTCTGACCCGAGTCTGTCGGGGTTGGCTGGAGGTCGCACTGGAAAACCCACGCTCAGACTTGTCTCCTGTGCAGGCGGGAACAGACAGTCACAGGAAGTGTAGCGTGACTGAACCTGACGTAAACACAAGGGGAACTGGGTGTTGGAGAGCACCACTTACAGAAAATGTCTGAGAAACAAGATGGGACCAAACATTTCACAGTAGCTACACTCAGAATTAACTCTGAGCGGCCAGAGTGTGGCACCGTGGTGGCTTTAGAGGACACGAGCTTTCTGAAAGGCTCCGCTCAGAACAACAGAAGGGCAGAAGTATCAGATGGGCTCCAAGTTAAATTAATAACCCAAATATTTCACCAAGCCTAATTTGAAACACTTTGTTGGTTCAGTACAGAGATGAAGGTGGAAGTAGCTGTTTTTGAAAGATCTGTTTTGCCAGAAATGCCCTTTTCCAAGCACAAGTTTGTTTCTAACAATAATTCATGTTCATGTTTTATCTTCTGAGTGAATGTTAAAGCTTTTGAAGGTCAACTAAAATATAATGATGGAAAAAAACTAACCCATACTGGACCCATACTAACCCTGGCTCTGTCCAAACATGATAACCACCCAGAAGGGATGATTAGTGAGGAACTGTTATAACATTTATTTGGCTTTAGGCTGAGCCAGGCTGGCTGTTCGCCGTTTACTCTATGCTAAGCTACTGTAACTGTACCCTGTGGCTGTAGCTTTATAATTAACGGACACACGAGAGGTAGTGTCTCCTAACTGTTGGCAGGAAATCAAATATGTCCCAAAATATCTAAATGTTCTTGTGAAGTTACCTTGAGCTGATATTTTGCGCTGTTTTGTAAAATATGATCAAATCTGTGCAAATTAACATCCAAACCAAAGATCGGATTTGGAGACTTTTGAGGGAAAGGTGATGCTCACAGCCTCTCGCGGTGGAGTTACGTCCGCCCAACATTTGTTGTAAAAGACTTTTTTTTGTGTGTGAATTGTGAACAGTTTTTCTTACTGACAAATAAGCAGACAGAGCTGTCACAGCTGGACTGGGTTTAATGTGAGAACACTGACTATATAAATATAAATGAGTATTTTTCTCCTTAAACTTCCAATTCACTGATGCACTTTCAAATCTGTCAGAACTGTTGTGTTGCTTTATCAGAGTAGTTTTTGAAGATGATGAACTTTTTTCTTGTTTTTGTCCAAATAAAGGAATTGTCTGGAAACACTGAAGAGATTGGTTCAATCAATTCACCACCAAACTTCTAATTATTCTTTCTTTACTCTTATTAAACTGATCTTGTTTCAGTTGACTTAGTTTAATAGTGTAGTTTTCCACTTTCAGGTTTTGATTTCTGCTTGAAGAGTTTAATCTTACACTTCAATAAATTTCAGGGTGTAAAATTAGTAAACTGGCCTAGATTTTATTATCCAGTTAGGACTCATATTTTAAGATTTTAATTATGGTTTGACCTTCAAATCCTGAAGTCAGTACTTAACTGTATGTGCTACAGTTAGCTGTCAGGAAAAGGCCTGTTTTAGTTACATGGTCATTCAGTTCTTCTCTCTCAGCATTAGGAACCAGCTAAGCAGCTCTTCTGGAGAGTTTAGGTTAAATTTTGACACAAACTCAAAGGAAAAAAAATCCAAAGCATCTTGCAAATGGAGCAAAAACTAGTGATTATTTTCTATTTATATTCAGTGTCTGAAAATGGTTTTAAAAAAATAATTCAATCTCCCGGAGTCCAGGGTGGCATCTTCAGACGTCTCAGCAGTCCAGACACGTTCAGTTTACAGTGACAGAACATGGGCACACAGAAGATCCTCAGTTTAGGAGCTGTGTTAGAAAAACATTTGTTATTCAGGACTGAATCTCAGTGAAAGGTTGGTTTAATATAAAATGTACATACTACAATCTAACCCTGCATTAACAGTATATATGATGAATAAAATTCTCAGGAAGAGAGCTGACAGTTAAGGGTGGATCTTAGCTGTCAGTGCCGTCAGTAAGTCCTTGGATCACAAAAGCATCAAACACGTGTACAGAAACCTAAACTGTCCAAGAAAAAAAAAATCAGCCTATGTTTTGTGTCCTGTGTTTACTCAGCTGTTGTAATGACTCCCGACTTCACCAGTCGGAGGTCACTAAAATTAATGTTGAGTCGGTGTGTAACTTCGCTAAAACAATGTCGGACTCCGTAGTTTTCTCTGGACCCCTACCCAATGTGACCAGTGATGACATGTTTAGCCGCATGTCGTCATTCTCTGTTAGTGAATGATTTGATAAGTGAACATCACATTGACTTATTGTGTCTTACTGAAACGTGGTTACAGCAGGAAGAATATGTCAGTCTAAATGAATCCACTCCACCTGGTCACAGTAACTGTCACATCCCTCGAAACACAGGCCGAGGTGGTGGCGTGGCAGTGATCTTTGACTCAAGCCTATTAATCAACCCTAGACCTAAACATAGTTATAACTCATTTGAAAGTCTCACCCTGAGTCTCTCACACCCAAACTGGAAAACTCAAAAGCCTGTTCTGTTTGTTATTGTATACCGTCCACCTGCTCCTTATTCAGAGTTTTTAAGTGAATTCTCAGACTTTGTCTGATTTAGTGCTTAGTACAGATAAAATAACATTGTAGGCGACTTTAATATTCATGTAGATGCCGACAATGACAGCCTCAACAATGCATTCTGTTCATTATTAGACTCGGTTGGCTTCTCTCAAACTGTAAATAAACCCACTCACTGTTTTAATCACACTCTTGATCTTGTTTTGACATATGGCATCGAAACTGAACACTTAATAGTTTTTCCCCATAACCCTCTTCTGTCTGACCATTTTCTAATAACTTTTGATTTTCCATTAATGGATTATACTCTATGTGGGAAACAATTCCACTACAGCAGATGTCTATCTGGCAATGCTGTTACCAAGTTTAAGGAAATAATTCCGTCTTTATCTACTTCAGTGCCGTTTGCCTACACAGTGGAAGGAGGGCACCTTAACTTTACTCCCATACAAGTCGATAATCTTGTTGATAGTACTGCAGCCTTCCTGCGTAATACACTTGATACCATTGCCCCTCTGAAAAAGAAGGTAGTGAAACAGAGGAGGCTAGCCCCGTGGTACAGCTCGCAGCTCTGCTCCCTAAAGCAGGCATCACGAAAACTGGAAAGGAGGTGGCGCTCCACTAAGTCAGAAGAGTTTTTCATAGTCTGGAAAGATAGTTTAATAACATATAAGAAAGCCCTTCATAGTGCCAGAACCGCATTTTATTCATCACTGATTGAGGAAAATAAGAACAACCCCAGGTTTCTTTTCAGCACTGTAGCCAGGCTGACAAAGAGCCACAGTGCTGTTGAGCTTAACATTCCCTTAGATCTCAGCAGCAATGACTTCATGAGCTTCTTTACAAATAAAATCACAACTATTAGAGAAAAAATTGGTTGGACCACTCCCACAGCTCTCGCAGATGTGCCATCTACTACAATGGCTTTAGAAACATCTTTAAGACCTCATTTATACTTGGACTACTTCTCCCCTATAGATCTCTCTGAGTTGACCTCAACAATTGCTTCATCTAAATCATCAACATGTCTCCTGGACCCCATCCTGACCAGGCTGCTCAAAGACGTCTTTCCCCTAATCAACACATCCATACTAGATGTGATTAACCTCTCTCTATTAACAGGTTATGTTCCACAGGCTTTTAAATTTGCAGTAATTAAACCTCTACTCAAAAAGCCTACTCTTGACCCAGGTGTCCTAGCTAATTATAGACCAATATCCACTCTCCCATTTATTTCCAAAATCCTTGAAAAAGCTGTTGCAAAGCAGTTATGTGACCACTTGCACAAGAATGATTTGTTTGAGGATTTTCAGTCAGGATTTAGAGTCCATCATAGTACAGAAACCGCATTGGTGAAAGTCACCAATGATCTTCTCCTAGCCTCGGACACAGGACTTGTCTCCATACTTGTCCTCCTAGATCTCATTGCTGCTTTTGACACCATTGATCACAGCATCTTACTGCAGAGACTTGAACATGTTATTGGGATTAAAGGAACTGCGCTAAGTTGGTTCAAATCTTATTTATCAGAAAGATTTCAATTTGTTCATGTTAATAACGAATGTTCTACACAAACTGAAGTTAGTCACAGCGTTCCACAGGGCTCTGTGTTAGGTCCAATTCTCTTCACTTTATACATGCTTCGTTTAGGCAATATTATCAGGAAGCACAACATAAATTTCCATTGCGTGTTTATATCTGCACCCTCCCACATAAAACAAAATCTATTTTAGTTCAGTGTTAATGATACAGAAATTTTGTTTCTGACTGAATGATGACTGAATATCTGAAGACGTGTGAACGTGGGGCAACAACAATCCAGACATGGTCTGAATCCTCTTTACCAGACCGCTAATGTTAAATGGTAAGGAAACGCTATGGAGACTGGTTGGGTTTTTCCTCTCAGAAATAAAAGGTCAGGTTAAGGATCCAGGGGTTTGGTAGCATCTTGAAACCTGCATATATCAAACATACTTTACGAGTCCTTAGTGAAGTCTGATCTGTTCAGGTAAGGTTCACCGGCCACAGGTGTGTGTGCGGGATCAGTTGGCTCAGTAACACTCCTTCAGTTATTCTGTTAAAATAAGCATTTTGGTATGTGCACAACTGAAGCCGAAAAGCAGGCTGATGGATCATCAACATACCTGGTACAGACATTGCTGGGGACCAACCCTAAATGTGATTAGAGTTTTGGCTGGAAAAAGGTCAAAGGTCAAGGTGACCACAAGTCACAGACCTTCACAGACAAATTCAGTAATTCATTTAGTTTGAGTTGAAACTGAATAAAATGTCACACTTACATTGCTGAGTTTCAGGTCGTGCCTCTTTTTCCAGCGGCATCAAACGGGAAATGAACAAGTTCGATTTTCATTCACACTGAAATTGTATAAAAAAATACTCTGGTATACAAACCAGCACATCCAGCTGTGCACCTTCAAGTTATTTCCAGTCCATTTGTGCCTATGTATTTTCACATTTTTTGAAGTGGCTTTAAAACATTTCGTGTCAGAAAATCAATTAAATGACTTTTTAATTAAAAATGTGAAACAACCACACAGAGACATACAACAGGTGAGATCCAAGACAAAAGGAGCACGAGGGATCCCAAAAACATGCAAAGCATGCACAAAAACAAAACAACCAAACGGAAACAAAAAATGAGTATACATAGACGTGACGTGTTAGAATTGGATTTCAGGAGTTGCAGCTGTTTTATTTACTGCTAGTATTATTTGGCTTCATAAGGATAAAGTTTAGTATGACTGTTTGTGTTTTATTAACAGCACCATGTATCAGTATTAACCTGGCTCTTATATATGCATAATAGCTATAATGAGAAATTCTTGATAAAATGATATAGTGCTATGTTATGTATTTGCAAAACTGTTCAAATAATTGTTTAATCTGTTTGACCTTTGGAAAGACTTGACCTGTGCCCATGAAATGCTTGTGAAGAGGTGCAGAGACTCAGAACAACAGGAAGTCTTGCAGATACATACTGACATAACTAAACTGTCTGCACGAGAATAGTGTGTGGGTGTAAGGTCCGATTGTCTTGACTCTAGATTATCAACATTTATCAACATATGAAATTCTAGGATCAATATTGTAATCTGCATTAGCAAATATATTTACAGGATTATTTTAGTATCATATGCCTTATAATCTACTTTTGTGTTAACCATTTCATTTGTCTTAGAGAGTGTAAGAGACTTGGCAATCTACAGGAAACCACAACAGGAACCAGGGCTTAGCAACGCTCATAGTGACAGGTGTAGACGGGAAGTGAGAGCCTTCTCTGAAACTGTCTAATCCACTTGAAGCTGATTCCTGTATCCTGAGTGTTACTTCTTGGGGCCTTCAGACAAAAGAACCGGGTTAGAATTAAAACATGGCCACAAAGGGGCTAAACACACACGCACACAAAACAAGCCAAATGGATGCAAATCAACTATAAGGAGATAGAAAACAGCCAGTAAGAAGTGCAAAATGATGGAAAACATACACAAAATGACAACATAAATACACCATAACTACAGTGTAGGGTTCTTGTTGAAATGTTACAGAAACGGGGGTTTTACATGTTTGCGTTAAATAACTTTAAAGCCTCTTCAACGGCCTTGAAGAGACGGCATTAGAAGCTTTTAC